GACAGTACGAGGTTCGGATGGTGAGGTATGTTTTCTTTTCATCTTAATTTAGCCCTCAATTACACTTGAATCTTGCCATTACAGTGCCTTAGAGCATAATACATTTTCACAAAGATTGTTCATTATTATTCCATTAATTTATTGAGGACCTCAAGATTATATGTTGAACTCATTTTCATAACAAATTGTTCATTGCGCCTCTTGGCGTAAATGTAGGCACATCGTGAATCAACTGGGACAGTGACACCTGGCGACAACAATATCGTGGATCCTGTGGCTGCAGCAGAGGAAATTGCGTTTTGCCGAGCCTGTGCTCGATTTGGTCTTGGCTTGTACCTTTACCACGAAGATTAGAAGGCTGTCTCACAGTCTTCTTCTGTATGTTTGTTTGATTGAGAAGTAAAACTTTTTTGTGTGTGTGTTCTTAATTAATGTATGGTACTGTTGTTATAAGGCTTAACCCCAGGTTCTCAGATGGTTGAGATTTGTTGTGATAGCATATAATTCTTCTTAATCTGATCAACATATCATCTATATATAAAAGTTAATGAAATACTAGTGCGTAGCCCGTGCGATGCACGGGTAATTATATTAAATAATAATTATAAATAAGTCTCGAGTTCTAGTGGTGGGGAACCATTATCCTATTTTAAAAGAGCAAAAAAAAATATAAATTAAGATGTGGGGTTAACATGTGATATAATTTACTGTCGTATATCAGTTTAATAATTATAAATAGGTCTCGAGTTCGAGTGGTGGGGTTAACATGTGTTATAATTGACCGTCGTATAACAGTTTATTATCAACAATATAAAATTAACTTGTATAAGAGAACATAAAGTTTGCATGTTTAAAATACTAAAAACATGTAAAAGTATGTAAAAGTTTATGTTATTAAAAGATGTGAAGTCACATACAATTTTTTTAAACTATTTTGGAAAGAAAACATGTTTAAAAACATTTAAATTTTATATTTTATGAAAGATGTTTTCTAAACTCTATTGTAAAGAAAACAAGTTTACAAATATTTAAATATAATATGTGTATATATATACGTGTATATGTATATATAGATATAATATGACATGATAAAATATTATATAAAAGTATCTACAATATCATAAGTCTAAATAAAAATATTATAAAATTTTGAGAGAAAATTTACCACTTATATATAAAATAAATAATGAAATTATACCGAGAATTATAACGGTATTTCTTATTATTTTTTTATAAGTTGTTACAGTTAAAAAAAATTGTACGCATAACAATTCTACGTTTTATGCAGATTTATTAATTTTACAAATACAGATCAAGATTAATTTGAAATGTAACAAATAAAATAGAATTTTATATATAAGTGATATTAATACAAAAATTGAAGACAATATTTAAATCTGCATTTTTTCTATTAACTTTTTATTATGTGCATTTAATATTTTTGGAAGAGAAATATGTGATAAATCTTATTCTCGTTATCCTTGAAATATGTGATAAAAAGTGTATAAAATATTATATATTATCCTTGAAAAATGTTTGAAGTCGCTATCTAAACTATTTTTTAAGAAAACATTTCTAAAAATACTTAAATTTAACCTCCATATATGTATATATATATATATCATCTCTATATATATAGGTCCTTAATCTTTGTCCAAATAACTAGTGCGTATCCCGTGCGAAGCACGAATAAATAATATTAAATAATAATTATAAATAATTATTGAGTTCGAGTCACCAATGAAAGAAGTGGGAAATCATCCTTCCTTAAAAGAGCAAGAAAAATATTATAAATTAAAGATAAGGATAAACAAATTAAAGATGGGGGGTTAATATTGATATAATTTACCGTATACCAGTTTATTATAAACAATCTAAAATTAGCTTGTACAAAAGTATATAAAATTTGTATGTTTATAATATTACAAATACCTAAAATATCATATTAACATATGTAAAAATATCTAAATTTTTCTATATTATTATTAAAGATGTGAATCACCTACAACTTTTCTAAATTATTTTGGAAAGAAAACGTGTCTAAAAACATTAACCTTCACTTTTGTATAAATGATGTTTTATAAACTTTATTTTTTTTTTGTCTCGTAAAGAAAACATTCTTAAAAATATTTAAATTTTATATGTATATGTATATGTATATACAGATAGAGTATGACATGATAAAATATTATATAAAAGTATCTATAATATTATAAGTTTAAATAAAAACATTATAAAGTTTTTGGTAGAAAATTTACATAGTATATATAAAATAAATATTGACATAATTATGACGGTACCTAAAAATTTGAGTACATGAGATTTCAAAATTATTATGATTATTATTTAAGTAATTTGAGTACAAAAGATTTTAAAAATATTATTATTTTTTAGTTACCGTAAAACGATTTTTTGTACGCATACAATTATTTCTTCATAACAACTTATACAATTATGTCAACTAATAATTGTAAAATTTATATTAGTACATTTTGATAATTTCTCTTAAATTATTTATTCAGAACAACTTATGCACTTTTTAGTTTTAGTGTGGTGTATACATATTTCTTCTATGTTTATAACCACGTGATTTATTAGAGTCAAGTATGAAAAAAAACACAGAAATTAAATATAACTTGTAAGTGAGTTTTATTTTAGATAATTTTTATTTATTGCATACTTAGACACTACTGATCATAATTTATTTATTTTTTGTTTTTTTTTTTACCTTAGGTCCACAACAGGTTTAACCATAATAATATAATTATTTATTTGATTTAAAAATATGATATCCTTATCATTCCTATTTATTAATAGAATAGATTCATTTGTAATATTTAAGAAATTAACAACTAACTAATGTATCTAGCTAGTCTGTTCACATTATTGGATATAAGAATTACTTTTCAAATCGTAATTATCATTTAGAAGAGGTAATTATAATTTTTAGAAAAGATAATCATGAATTGAATAAAAACAAACATTATATAATTAAATATAGAAACATACCGCAAATCATGCATCTTATCTTAAATCTCATTCAAATGACCTCAAATAAAAAATGTAGCAAAATCCCTAATTTAAAGGCAACACTGCAGGTTTTTTGAAAAATAAAAAATAACAAAGTTACTAAAAATGGTAAGTAATTAATGCTAATTAAAATTTGACCAAGGTTGACCTGCCATTTTTGAAAAATGGTAAATCTTTTTATATAGATATAGATGTTTGAAATATCTCCAATATTATAGATGTTAATAATATTTGAAAAAAAGTTAATATTTAGATAGGTGAAAATTAAATTTTTTTAAAACTTATGACCCTAGGTCAGATTCATATTAGCAATTATACTTTAGAGCGAATTAACTTTTTAAGAAAAAAAAACTTATGTTACATAATTTTGTTAAAAAAATATGTTAGAGTACATACCTAAGAGATGAGATTTTTTAGCATTAATGGGTTTTTTGTACAGTCTTTAATGTGTATGGAACCAAAAGCCGATATTTATGCCATGTGATTCTGTAAAATTACCTTCAGATTTTTTAGGCGGGTATACGTTAATGAGATTTTTTTGTACGATCTTTAATGGTGTATGGAACAAAAGCCAATATTTTAGGCTTTTCAATTAATGATAGAAACTTATTAAATATGATGGAGATATTATAAATATGATGAAGAGAATGTATGAGGACAAGAAAAACTTATAGCTTGCGTAGGACATTCTGGGATAGAAGAATTAAATATATAGATTACAGCAGCAATAAAATATATTGTTTGATTTGAATGAGTTTTAAAGACTTTGAAGAAAGGAAAACTCTTGTTTAGTTTGACTAAAGATCTCTCCTCAATTCACACGTGATTTATTGTAAATTGGGTATAAATAATATTTAACTTATTTAAAAAATATTTTTTTTAAATCATCTTTTAATAAAAAAATATATATTTTTAAATAAAAAAATTAAAAAAAAAATATGTACAACTGGTTGGAAGATTAAATTGTTATAGCTTTTTTTTTTTTTAAATCTATCGTGATTTCACATTGTTTGGAAGATTCAACTTACTTAAAATCATAATTGACGGTATTATTTTTCAGATTTTTTGTAAGATAGAAATGTTGCATTAGAATGTATCCGGTTGGACGATATTGTTGTATTTTGAACAGTATGATTTTGTGTGATTTTGCATTTTTTTTTGTGAAAGTTTAAACCAAGTTGCAAACGATTTTAAACTCTTTGGCATAAATTTCGCAACAACAATTAAAGAGCTATAATTAAGGAAACCAAGTTGCAATCGATTTTGAAGCTATAATTAAGGAAACAACAATTAAAGAGCTTTTTTTTTTTTGCTTATTCACAATTGCCCAAAAATTACTATATATAGGATATAATTAATGATTTGGCGGGAAAAACTTACTAAATTTATAAAATGGTAAATCTTTTTATATATATATATAGATCTTTTTTTTTTTTATCATAAAGTCTTAATATTTATTTATATAAAACAGAAATTATATCATTCATTCTTTTTGGTCTTCAACAATATATTTACTAAATATACAGTATTAAATCTTTATATGAAACAATTTGTCACTAACAATGCATAAATTGATTGGGAGCAGAGTCTGCTTGTTTAACCACAGCAATGGGAAACGCAATTTATTTATCACTGATTTCATCAAGCAAGCAAAAGTCATACTATATTATGATAATAATAATAATAATAATAATAATAATAATAATAATAATAATAATAATAATAATAATAATAATAAAGGAGTTTTAAAAACTCATACAACAAGCAATAATCAAACATACATAATAAATCCAACACCTTAAAACTAACACATCCATGCTGGAACAGAACATCAGAATGCCTTCACAAACATTCCGTCCAACACTCTTGTGAGCCTTCTCCACTTGATAACAAAATACACATAAACATTGTCCCATAACTTGTGAAAGAGCGCATAACACGATTCTCTCCATTTCTTCTTAAAATACAATGTCGTGAGGACGGCCGAAAGCCCGA